GGCTGAGCCTTAAGCATCAGAGCCGATGGTCTGACCGACTCGACGACTCGACGAGTATAGTAACATGGAGGGTGGAGGGAAGTTTGGGATCCCTTGTGTCTCATGAGCGGCAGTGCAAGCACTCTGAGCGTGAGGATCCCGAGGATTCCAAGTTTGAGATCCCTTATGTCGAAAGTCTTCCTAACAGTGGGTCCATGTGGAAGAGAGGCGAAGAGAAGCATCCCTTATGTCGAAAGTCTTCCTAACGGTGGGTCCATGTGGAAGAGAGGCTTCCTAGTAACATGGAGGGTGGAGGGATCCCAAGTTTGTTTGGGATCCCTTGTGTCGAAGTCATGAGAGAGCTCATGATGGAGCGGCGGTGCAAGCACTCTGAGCGTGAGGATCCTAAGTTTGGGATCCCTTGTGTCGAAATTCTTCCTAACGGTGGGTCCATGTGGAAGAGAGGCGAAGAGAGGCTTCCTAGTAACATGGAGGGTGGAGGGGTCCCAAGTTTGTTTGGGATCCCTTGTGTCGAAAGTCTTCCTAACGGTGGGTCCATGTGAAAGGAGGGAGCTCATGATGGAGTGACGCTGCAAGCACTCTGAGCGTGAGGATCCCTTGTGTCGAAGTCATGAGGGAGCTCACGATGAAGTGGCGGTGCAAGCACTCTGAGCGTGAGTGAGCTCTTTGGGGCCATCCATGTGGAAGAGAGGTTTCCTAGTAACATGGAAGGTTAGGAGGCGTGTCCCGCTGTTATGAGAGAGGTCTTTTAGGTGATCCCTTGTGTCGAAATCATGAGGGAGCTCACGATGAAGCAGCGGTGCAAGTACTCTGAGCGTGAGTGAGCTCTTTGGGGCCATCCATGTGGAAGAGAGGTTTCCTAGTAACATAGAGGGTTAGGAGGCGTGTCCCGCTGTTATGAGAGAGGTCTTTTAGGTGATGTCTAAAAACAAAACCGTGAGAGCTGAGCCTAAAAGGAACAATATCTCACCAATGTGAAAACATGTGTATATGTGTGTTAACTCCCGACAACAACAAATAAGAGATATAAATATAATTTAAGCATGTGTGCATGCATCTGTCTGGATTCATTGAAGGTACAGTAGCTAGCTAGATGAAGTCGGGATACCTTGTTTTGGACCCACAAATCAACGGAAAAAGCACGTTGACGTTGAGATAATAAAGCACATTATTCACCAAAAGATAAGATATGGCAATTATGCAAATGAAACAAGTTTCCAAACACACGTGGGTATCGTTTCTCTGCTTAAATTATTTTCGAATTTGAATTCACAAGGTACAGTAAAAAGCCACTCAATCGGTGTTAGTTCAATCAGAAACGGCAAGTTATTTTCACTTCATTAATTTTGTCATTTTTTAAAATGAATCCAAATTCCTTTTTATTTTAATTTTTTAAACAACCTCAAATTTATAGCTCTGAAAATGAAAACAGGCTGCCGGAGCCGGCAAGCTAAGGGTGAGAAGCCGTCGAGTTTGGTCCGGCCTAGTTTTACCATTAAACTCTTTGCTAAGTTAGATTTTATATTTTTTAATTGAGGAGTTAGCACCGCACATCAACATTTTAATACATTTATCTTAATATAATATTTTTATTAGTTAAAATTTATTAAAAATTATAAAATTAGAAATAAGTTATTAAATAAGGTGTAAAATCTACTAATTTTTTTAATAAATTTCAATTAATAAAAAAATGTATTAGAAAGCATGTTTCTAACATTTCTTTTTATAATTTTGTATGTATTTAGGTTAAATATTTATAAAGGGTGTTTTTGTTTGTTATTGTATTATCCGACTTGAACAACATTTTTTTAATTAAAAGTAACATGGTTTGTCTAAAAAAAATGATTGATTAAAACTTTTGAAAAATAAAAATTATAATTTTTTACAAGAATATATAAAAACATATCATTAGAACATTAAAATTATTGAGAAATTATAAGAATAACGTTAGCAAATAAAGTTTGCTCAAATGATTATGGCAATAAATTATTTGAAATCATGCAACTATTGAAAGAAAAAAAATGGTATAATTAATAGAATTTTCTATTCTATGTGACATTTACATGTTTTAGTAGTTAATATTTATACAATAAAATTGACAATTAAGAATGATCGTTCTTGTTGAGCTTCATCATTATATATTTTCATTTCAGATGAAGGTATAAATTGGCAAAGAAAGCATATTTGATCGGGTGATTTTTTTTTAACTTAATTTAGAAAACTATACAAAATATTGCATGCATTATTTGCTTACAGATACTGGTGTAAAATATGACCTGATGATATAATTAAAAGTTATTTAAAAGAATATTAATTAATTAACAGAATAATAATTTATTTATAATAAAAATAAAATATCAAGATAGTGGACATTTAATTAGAAATTTTATTTTAATTTTTTTTAAATTAGGTTAATTAATTGATAAAATATTACTTTAATGATAAATTATAAATATATCACTAATTAGGTCAATCATTAATTAAATAAATTTAAATATTAATTAAAAAAAATTTAGTGGACTAAAAAATTAAAGAGAAATTAAAACATCAAGTTAGTTTGATTTAAGAAAGTATTATAAAATGAGAAAAATGTTATAAAAAATATATACTTATAAAAGTTGCCACAATTTTAAGAATAAAGACTTAATTTAATTATATACAAGTGAGTAAACATGACATAAAAACGACAGAAGTGAATATTTTTTAGTGTTTGAAGTACTTATCTTTTGAATTTTTTTATAGCTTTGACATCCTTCTCAAATTTCTCCCTTCTTTCATTAATTCCTTTTTCTTTTATGGTATTCATGAAGTCATACATAGGGTGTATTTTGTTAGCATTTGTTTGGTATATATTGCTCATGTGATTCTCGCTATAAGTGGTGGACCTTCATTGAACCTTGTGCTGGTGTGAATGTGCCTTGTGGAGGTTGCAATCGATGTTGACGCCACGATGCTTTGGTGTTAAATGGTTGAGTTTTAGTCAAATGGAATAGAGTGGAAAATGAAATCAGAGTGAATTAACAAAAAACAAATCAGTGCTACATAATTTTTAAGTCATAACAGTTTAAATAAAAATATTTTTAAAAACATAACCTAAAGCGTTTTTAATGTGAAACTAATTAAAGACGCTATGATATTTTCAATTTTCAAATATTGTAAAACTAACCAAGAACATGAGTTTTATATTTTTGTCGATTTTGTTAGTGAGTAATCTGTAATTATTTTTATAAATATTTATAGAGTCTTAAGATTTATTCTAATTCTGATAAGTTCGAGGATTTAACTCATCTATTTTTTTTAAAGCAAAAAGAATACTAATATTTTATGGTTGAGAATTGAGATGAATTTGATGATGGATGGGTTTGACTGCAAGTGTGTTGTCAAAATGATTGGTAACGAATTAAATTGTGATTTGTGATTAGTGAGTCAAAGACGCATGCTTTAAAATTTCTAAGGGCACGTACGATACCACTTAATGGCGTAAAATATTTAGTTTATGTGGTATACAATTTTTTTTTCTTTCATTTCAGTTGTTCTTTCATGTTGATATAGATGAGGGGGAACTATTGATATTCACTATGTTGCTTAGTGCTGGAGTGATTTCTTATCACGGAAAATTAAATTAAAAGTGTTCTTTTCCACTTTTGCAAACCAACAATGTCGAAATGAAATAAGATTAAACAACACTTACAAATCAAGCATACCTTCCAATTTTGTAATTCTAAGAACTTGCTTTACTTTTCAATGGCATTTGCCCTTCTATCTCAATATTTATGCTCATGAGTTCACAAATCTTGCACACAATTCAAAATCTAAAGTCCTTCAATCTCCTACTTGATTTCAAATTTTCCCTTCACGACCCAGCTAGCAGACACAACAACACTTACCTAACGAAGTTTAGTGACAACGGCAATTTCGCAAATTTGTTAACATTTCAAAACATAAAAGATTAACTTAATACAAAATATATAAATATAAAAACAAATTAAATATAAGATACTAGTTTATGAACTAATTAATTATTACTTATTAGATTACTAATGATCAAAAGATTCGGCGATCCACCTTAATTAATCATAAAACTATCGTTTGAATACATTCCCAACCCACTAAAAAGGAGGACAAAATACATTGAGTGTTTAGTGGAACTTAGATAAAAGCAAGTCATTCATGTCATCTAATTTCGAACACAGAAATCTGTAAACTTATGTTATTGGTGTTATCCGTCATCTTTTATACTCTATCTGTGTGTCAAATTGTATGATCATAAACAAGACCTGAATGACCTATAAGATTCCCACTCCCACAATCTCATCACTATGTGCTTGTCAATTGTCATTCATGATTCATCGATCAATCATCATCCCACTTTTTTTCTTCTCCTTCTTCTTCAAAATATCTAAATTAATTTTCTGACTTTCATAAGGAATGAATCACGTCAACCAGCAAATGAAGATCTTGTACAAATGTAATATTTTGAAATGACGTTAAATTAATATTGATTGCATGTAATTATAATTTTAATTATATTATGATAAAAATATAACTAATTTATTTAAATTACATTAAATGAAAGCTGAATTATGATATTAAAATTTTCTCTAAATGTGATAATTTGTTTAAAATTTTAACATAATAGTAATCAATAGTTTTTAAGTCGACTTATTTATATACACTAATAAATATATAATATAATGTTATTATATATAATTTACGCTTAACAATAATAAATAATAATTTTATAGGCATATATAATCTTATATAAATTAGGTATCATGAGTAGGCTTTTAATAAGTCAGAGTCAAACACATCGGGCTAAGTTAAACCATTAAAATTGATTTGTAATAGATAAATACATTAGACACAAACTTAGTAATTATCAATCAGTTATAAGTTATAAATGTATATGTTTTTTTTGTTACATGAAATGTAATATGTTTAATAATGTGTGGGTATGACCCAAGAGGATTTTTATCTTTATAAAAAAGAGGAAAGGTGAATATGTGATAAATTACTCATACTTGCATTCATTTTTCCATAAAACTTTATAGATAAATACCCATACAAATACCTAAGAAATTAAAGGGTACTTGACTAGCTAGCATCTCAAATTAAAAACTAGACGCACATAACATCAAATTGACACCCACGAACTACTGTACTTGACCAAAAATATACACTAACAAAGGGTAATTACATTAATATATATATCTTTCTACTCTTTAATTTATTTTCGAGGTGTGTTCTAACTAGAAGTTTCCAGCATGAACCGTTTAAGGGTTTGGATGACCTCTTCTGCAACTTGTGAAGAGTATGAATCATGAGTGAAAAACCCATGCTCGCATCCCTCAAACTCAACGTATTTAATGTCCTTGCCTAGTTGTTTCAACCTTGTAACATAATCTTCTGCCCTATCCTTAAGTAATTCATTGCCACCTATTATCACCAAAATAGGATCAAGCTTCACTTCTTCAAGATTTGGGCTTCCAGGTCCGAATGGATTCACCAATGGGTGGTCTCTGCTCTCTCCAACAGGCATTGACAGCCTCCAAAATCTGTTTGGAATTAAAAATAATAATATAAAAAAAAATAGTACTATTAGCATATGTTTGTGTGTGAAAGAGACCTAAAAACTAACCACATGATCATCACAAAAACTTTATTTCATTGTCACCTATATGACGAATATGTATCTAACAGTTGTCTCTATTTGTTGCGAAGCATATTAATTGGATAAGGCTTAGAATAAATAAATGATATGGAATTAATTAGAACATGTATTAACATATTGCATTTTGCTATAATATTGGATTAGCAATATCTTCTAGAAAGCGGAAAAGCTTATAAATGACTTTGTTCAAAGGATATATTTGGAAATCTGATGTGTGTTGATAACTAATTATATTATTTAATCTTAATGTTGTACACGCGTTTCATGTTTTAATTCGCTTTTTATTCTAAGTAAACAATTTACGTCACTACTCATCCAAAAAGAAAAAAGAAAAATCGCCACTATATATGATATTCTCAATAAATTATAATTCAAGAATAAAAAGTAAAGCATTATTATTTTAATGTTTAATTGATTTATTTTAGGATTAATTTTACAAATTCAACTATTAAATTAAAAATTCTTTATTTTTATATTATATATATAATTTTATATTAATTTAAGATAATTTAATACTTTATTTTTATAAAATAAAAGTAACGTAATATATGCATTTTAAAATAAGATAAAATATGAATATTTTGATTATTTTCAATTTATGTAATTTTAACAAAATTTTATATAAATATATAAAATGATATAAAGTTATAATTTAATGATTAAATTTATAAAATTCATATTTAATATAAAGTTATTGAACAATATAATACTTAATAAAAGTTA